GGTTTGGTATGTCTTGCTACTTCTATTCAACTAGGTCACACTACACATACAGGGTCAGCTATATATACCCACCCCTCTGGGTTTTCTCTTATTTTTTCTGTTCTTGTTTGTTTATTTCCTCTACTCCATGGAGAAGTGGAACAGAATTCTTCTCCGTAACCATGCATGTTGTAAGGGGCCCAACTAAAAGCCAGGAGCAAGGGGCTAGTAACCCCTTCTCCTGTATACATTACTAAATGAAAAGGAGAAACTTTCGTTTTTCCTTTTGGGCCACCCCACCTAGTGGGATACGGCCGGTGTGTTGAAAGAAAGAAAGAATATAATCAACCGCCCGGGAGTACTACCATCCTGCCAAGCGAGTGTAAAGAAAGCCTGTGATTGTTTTACATGATGGTAGGTTTTGCTGGTGTCCTTTTTCTGTTTCATAAACATGCAAGATTTCAGGTAAGTCTTGCAATTCTCTACTTACTCTTAGGTCACACTACACACACTTTTTTTTTTTTTTTTTTTTTCAACAAGTCGGCCGTCTCCACCGAGGCAGGGTGACCCAAAAAAGAAAGAAAATCCCAAAAGAAAATACTTTCATCATCATTCAACACTTTCACCACACTCACACATTATCACTGTTTTTGCAGAGGTGCTCAGAATACAACAGTTTAGAAGCATACACATACAAAGATACACAACATATCCCTCCAAACTGCCAATATCCCAAACCCCTCCTTTAAAGTGCAGGCATTGTACTTCCCTTTTCCGGGACTCAAGTCCGACTATATGAAAATAACATACATACATGTACAAGCATAATATATACATACCCCTCTGGGTATTCTTCTATTTTTTTCTAGTTCTTGTTCTTGTCTATTTCCTCTTATCTCCATGGGGAAGTGGAACAGAATTCTTCCTCTGTAACCCATGCATGTCGTAAGAAGCGAATAAATGCAGGGAGCAAGGGGCTAGTAACCCCTTCTCCGTATATTTTACTAAATTTAAAAGGCAAAACTTTCGTTTTTCCTTTTGGGGCCACCCCACCTTAGGGGGATACGGCTGGTACGTTGAAAGAAGAATAAAATATATTATAAAATATTTTTTTTTCAACAAGTCACCATCTCCCACCGGGGTTTAGAGAATTTTTTTGTGAAGGTATGAAAACCAAAAGTACAAAATTGATGGAAAACTTACAAAATTTAAACAGGCACAAGTGGTCGGGGCACAATTTACAAAGCAATGATTTAACCGATGTGTAAATTTTAAGCCAATCAACTAAATTCTTAAGCTATTTTGGGAGGACGTCTTCCATTCTATCAAGCAGGCACAAAAATCACCTGTTTTAACTATGTACTTAAACTATCATATAAAAATGCAAAGAAGTTGGGTAATTTGGCTAAAAATTTTTACAAAATTAAAAAAAAAATCCAGTTTCAAGAGAGTCCACAATAAACTAGACATTCCTGGCACTAAAACAACATTTTTTTTTGTCGTTAATCATGTCCCACCTCTCCTATATTACCTTGCCTCCATTTTGAATCCATCGCACAAAAATAGAAGATTTACTCTATTACTCGGATATAATATATAACCAGGAATGATTGGTTATGGTTTATGATGTCCCAATAAATGAATCAGACCTAAATTTAAAATTCCATAAACAGATTAGGGGTGTAAGGGAGGCATTATTCATCCCAGGAAAGTAAAATTAATATTCCCCCCTACTTTGAGCTCAATTTCAAACTAATCTTGTCCCAAAACCAACAAAAATTATTTCAGTAGTATGTCTTCCATTCTATCAAATGGTAACAAAGAAAGTCAATAAAACCACAAAAAACTTCTTTTGTTGCTATTTTAAACAATGCACACAGTTCGAGTTTTGCTTTTCCCATCGTGCACCATGGGGCAGGATTTCTCTTATGCTGTGTACAAAGACCTATTCTCTTATATCAGGCCAAAATTTACCACTCACAGCTTATCTGAGTGAGCTGAGCTCATAACACAAAAATATGTGAGGGGGCCCTGGCCTTGATGACGAGTTTTTACATGACAGCCGCTCCC